AAATAGGAAGAAAAGAATTAGATTATGGTACTCAGGGGCACAGGTGGAGGACATAACTGACAGTGCAAGAGATATGATAGAGGGGCTAGCAATGATGCATTTTTTGTTGTGCATGTAGGGGCTAATGATGTAGGGAAAGGTAGATCAGAGGGGTTAATTAATAAGTACAATGGGTTGATAAAGGCATTAAAAGAAAAAGGCCATAACTTAATTGTATCAGAGATACTGCCGAGAATTAATTGTGGGGATGAAATTATTAGGAGGTCATTAGGGCTAAATCCTAGACATAGGATAATATTTAAGGATGAGTAGATTAGCTGGTTGAACTTGTGAAATCAGCTCAATGGGAGAAGGAAGTTTCTGGAATAGATGGATTAGCTTTTATATAAGGTAGGGTCTGGTTGTTTGCAAGGGCTATTAACTCAACTGTAATGGAAGTTTTAAACTAGAACTGGACAGTGGTGAGGGCCAGGATAAGCTAAATGCAAAAACAATACGATGTAGAGAAAAGTTGAGCATAAGAAATGAGTATAGAAGTACTTCTAAGGGTAGGCTTAATTGTTACTATTGTAATGCTAGAAGTATAAGAAATAAAATAGATGAATTTAGGACACTGGTAGGAATGGAGGATTTTGGTATAATAGAAATAACTGAAACACAGTTAAATGTAGGCGATTTTTAGGAAAGTAATTTCTTTGAACTACTGGGTTATAGGTTATTTAATAGGGTGTGAGTACTAAAGAGAGGGAAAAGAGTGGCTGTTGCTAGTGGTAAGGAAAATAGGATTTTAGGTTGTTGCTACAGAAATATTGAATACAAGTCTGAGGAGGTTATAATTTCATTGTATAGGTCGCTGGTTAAGCCACATTTGGAGTATTGTGTTCAGTCTTGGGCTCCTTAACTTAGAAAGTACATTGAATTGTTGGAAAGGGTTCAGAGGAGGGCTACTAGAATGGTGCCTGGGATAGAAGGGTTGTCATATGAGGAAAGGATGAAATCTCTCAAATTGTTTTCTCTCGGAGAAAGAAGAGTTAGGTGGGGATTTGATTGAAGTGTTTAAGATTGTAAAGGGAATTGATACTATTGATGCGTTATCTTTTTTTCATATTTAACAGTGAAAACAGTAGGACTAGTGGACACATATATACATTTTGGCAAGGCAGGAGTCATATTTAAGTAAGATAGTTTTATTTTTCTAACAGGGTGGTTGGACTTTGGAATGTGTTGTCTTTGGATGTTGTGGAGGCATTAAGTTTAAGAGAAAGCTTGATAACTATATGAATGATAAGGGCTGGCTTTAAGATTTTTTAGAATTTATTTATTTAATAATTTTTAGTTAAATTTAGTGGATGGGACAGCCGAAATGGACCAATAGGCACCCTGTTGTCCCTCAGCGTTACGTTATCATATGTTATAATTACTTTTTTTCAAATAAATGATTCTTTTCTTTCTGCCTCACATTGCTGAAATGTAGTCTTAGTCTAATTAAATAAAGAAGTTGGCTAGACGTAACGAAAACCCCAATAAGTTTTCATTTCGCTGTACGAATAATGACTTTGTCTTTGCATACTTCTATTCATTTTTTTTATTTGTTGTCCGAAGTGGATTTATATTCTATTTAACATTTCCGGAATCTGCTACATATTGTGAGTTACTTGTAACTTGTCTGTAGGAAATTACTGTATCTGTATACCATAACGACAGTTACTTGTTATTGTTGTCATCAATAATTATCACGCGCTTTCACGAAATTCTCCTCTAAGTTCATGCATATCATTAAGCGTGTGCTTAAAACTTGTAATGTTGGTTTTTATTTTATATTTATATCGCAGTCATTTTAAACATTTCAATTCTAAGTAACGGCAAACACTTTAAGTGCAATTATTTCTGTAAAGAAAATTCCGAGAATTCTCTAAGTTAGAGTGTTATCAAATTATTCAGAACTAACAGAATAACATTTAGAATCAACTAGTTAGGTTCTCTGTCATAGCCACTTAATTACAATGACGTGCCAGTGTTGACTTTGGCTGCTAGGAAACGTGTGTGTGTTCCTGTAATTGTACTGAACTTGTACGGATAAATGTAGAAGATTCATTCTGAATGACAATGCTAATTTCTAACGTGTCTGGCAGAAACAAACGAATTTGAAGGAACTTAGTATCAATAGTATAGGTACAAATGTTAAAGCTCAAATGTTCTAAAAGGGGGCCCGAATCGTCCAGAATCGTAACTACAATTATAGGGAAATAAATGTAGGGGGCCAAGTTACTTTTTTATGCGAGGAGGCTGACTTTTGTAGTTACGTCACTGTACTTTACACACCGATTGACTTTCATTATACCAATACGAAAATACTTGTAAGCACTTTACAAATACACTTACTAATTTACTGCTTACTAAACTTACTAATAAACTCTGTTTAGGTGGATTTACATCTACGTATGATTGTGCTGATCTTTCTTGCCGATACAATTTACAGTTTTATTTATAGTCGTATTTGAAATTGATATACCCTGGGCTTTGCATCTCAGTGTTATTACATAACTTTCCAACAGTAACTATCCCTGATTGCATTGCGCTATGGATTCGTAGATAATTCGCCGTGAACCAAATACCTAAACGTATTATATTATTGTCATATTTCGTTTGTTTGTTTGTAGTTAAGCACAAAGCTATACAGTGGGATAATTGTGCTCTGCCCACCACGGGTATCGAAACCCTGTTTCTAGCGTTGTAAGTCCGCAGACATACCGCTGTGCCACTGTGGGGCTTCACAGTTCGTATCTGCGGCCACACGACATTCTATTGTAATATTTAAAACTTTTTATAAAGCAATCTCAACCTATGCACCTCTACCCCACCACAAGAACAACTAAAATAGTACATAAGAAACTAAAAATGTTTTTTAACTTTTATTTCATCAAAATTAATTGCGATCATGGACTCGTCTTATAATTTATAATCGGAATAGGGAGGCTATCTTAGAATTGGACGAAAGTAAACACTCATAAGATCATATTGAATAATTACAATAGTACTTGAGTTGCAGACATAGACTACAGTGACTTGAGAAGTACCACAGTCATTGTTCTTATATAAACCAATTATTTGTCATTATACTTCTATTGATTTTCGAAGCTGTTTGCGTTACACTGGAATAATAATACGGCGAGTAGTTAAGATACTGGTGATGGTGCTTGTAAGTAGTGATTTCCGTAGTCTATAAGGCCTAGAAATGAAATAACAAATGTGTCTTTATTTTGTAGTGAATAAAAATCCGTCTAAGACATAAATTTAAGATTTATCCTTGGTAGCATGAACGAAAACATAATTAACTCTACTTACTGGACTACATTGTTTTCAAATGATATTTAACCATCAGCAGATGTTATTGGTAACCACAAAATCTTAATAGAACTTTAAAACACTTTAAAAAGAAGTACATGAATATAAGAACAAATTAAAGATGAATTATTCGTTCAATACTAAAGTGAAGTACAATCCAGGTTTTATTAACAACCGATCTTTGTTCCATCTCCCAAAGTACCTTAACCGGTAAAACAATCCCTTTCCCATGCTGCGTTTGATACTAATTTATTTCAGACGTGTTATTATATTTCATTAATTAATATATTTCGTATTATTCAATTATAATGACTTTACATATAAATTATATTTTTGTGGCTAGTCTGAAATATTGGTAGTACGGGTTAAAGGCGCTCTTAATAATAGGTGATTAGTAGAATACATAATTATAATGATAAGCCTTTAAATAACTAGTAAGGATTTGCTTTCTTTTGAAAATACAGAGTAAACGGTGTTCTCTAGAACGTACATAAAGTGTATCCTGCAGATCGCTTCACCAACATCTCTATTGTATGACTTACCTTTTGTCTGAGCTCAATAACTTGGCTATCATGAGAGCTAATTCTGTCAGATATCTGGAGATTATAACCAACTACAGCTTAAACTGGTAACGCTCTTAAAGCAATAGACTGACTGTCTACGCTCCCAAAAGAAATATGTAATACATAAAGTATCTGTATCAAATTTTGTGTGTTCTTGATATTTTATTTTATTTTTTGTCTTGCATTACAATATAGAATATTTTCTCTGTAAATAATCAATCTCCACTAAACTTTCAGTGTGATTTAGGTTAATTATTGCCTTTCACTCGTCCAGTCTCCAAACGTTCTAATCTTAAATCTAGGATAGTTCAACCTCCATTCAATTCCACTACGAAGAATTGTTCATCTTTCATTCCTTCCCACTTCAAATCAGAAAACTGTTATAAATTGATTTGGCAAAGGTTGTTTAATCGTCCATTACTTGAGTGAAACATAACTCCTTTTTATAAGATTATTGATGTTACGAAAACACATAGGTTCAAAAATTCAATTTAACACAAAAATACTAAATTCTATAACCCGAGCGCTTTCTAAAGGTATACCTTTCTTCATCAAGGGCAAGCTATTTATAAGGATAGATTTTAGAATATAAGTTGATCTCCTACAAAGTATGAATAATTTTGGAAGTTTACATTTCATAAGATTTTTAATCATGGACGAGCAAGTTTATATGATTATTAGCCTTGATCACAATAACATCCGTATGATTGAAAACTCTGTTAATGTGAAAAATGAAAGCTCAATGTTTTACAATGACACAACGAACAAAAAGAAACTAACTAATGAAAATGTTTTAATGGACAGCCTTAGGTAGACTTGTAGTTTCAGATATTAACGTGTATCAAAGGGTCTGAAAACACCCGTCATAAAATGTTATTAAACATACTAGCAGAATTCAATACTTGCTATGTTTATGTATAAACATTCGGAAGTTTGGCATTATTTTTACAGTCTTATACAATAAAAACAAACATTTATTGTAAATTATGTAATATATTTCACCTGATATTGCAATAGTAATAACCCTTAAATTTAGACTGTGCTTTTGTGCACAAAAATGTCGAGACTTAAAAATGATTCCAGAAACAACAATGTATGTTTATGTTTAATTTTCTTTAACATAAAATGGCTCCAGGAACAACAATGTATGTTTGAGTTTAATTTTCTTTAAGTTAACTCCAGAAACAATAATGTATGTTTGTGTTTCATTTTCTTTAACTTAAAATGACTCCAGAGACAACAATGCATGTTTGTGTTTAATTTTCTTTAAGTTAAAAAACAGCATCTAAAATTTATGTTAGTTCAATACCTAGTTAAAAATGTCATAATATATATATATATATATTACAAATTCTCACATTATCTTCTGCATAAATATCGCTAGAATAAACAATAAGCGCAGGAGAGTTGTAAATCGTTACGCAGTTTTCAAATGTATCTATAACAATTAAAAAGCTATGGAGAGCAAAAAGCGCTTTTACATATGTAATATAAAAACAAGCACCAAACTTCGTGAAAAATATGTGTTCATATCGAAAGACAAAATTTTTCATCAAGACGTAGCATAGCCAATCTCGTTTCAGAGACACTGTGATTAAACTTAAAATAACCACCCTAATATATATATATATATATCCTGAGATTGATAAAACACCCATCTTTTAAAGGCCATTTTTAAACTTTTCAAGTAAAACAGACAACATTCTACACGTGTTGAAATAGGTTGCATTAAAGTATGCAATCTTATATACACAACATTAAAAATCCTATTAAATTAATATAACGTACACAACAGTAGAAACGAATTTAAAAAGATTATGTTAAAGAACAAAATTAATACATAAAAATACTGCTTCTTACCAAATTTCAACGAATGGAGTCTTATATCACTTATTTTACCAAGTTTCACGCCGTCTTCTGAGTCTCATTTCAAAATATTGCTTACTTGAGAAAATCACAAACACAAGTTAATTATTCCAAAAAAACGCGTTTCAAAATAACATATAATACTATTTAATTTGTGTTCTGACCCCAATCTTTCAAATAACAGTTTATCTTTTAATTATTTTTAAATAACATAAAACAAAACTTACTTCACAAATCACCACTTGGAACTGGCTTGTTTTCAATTTATCTTATCATTTAACAGACTTCTCAAAATCTGTCTTTTTTTCTCAGACTAGCGTACAAAAAATTTTTAAGCAAGGTGTCTTGAAAAAACTGGACAAACATTTTAATCTCACCAGTTTCAGAGGATGAGAAAGAGTGATGAATCCAAATTATCCTCCAGAAACCATGTAAAGCTTTGGTTACTAGATAATTAAAATATGATTTTGAATTAATTATATTTTCTGTTAAATGCAGATCCAGTAAGCAATAAAGAAGTAAAAAGCTAAATTTTGCACACTGGATTTTACCAAAGCCTTATGATAGATATGTTTTTTTTTGTAACTGTACTGTTTCTGATAATTTGAACAAGTAAAAGAAATCCTTTTTTATTTATGTAATGGAAATTTTTATGTATAAGTACAAACTCAAATTTTATGCTAAATTTATAAAAATGCAGTATAAACACAATGAAATTTAAGCTTAATATAGAAAATCTCTATTATAATTTATATTTAAGCTTATGTAATTACTGGAGACAGAGAATTCCATCATTTGCCTTGTTCTCATCATCAAGTTCAAATGCCTAGTAAGTTTTAATGAATAGGTTGTACGTAGGCTATGCTTTGTTCAATTAAATTGTAATTTTCTGGAAATGCTAAAGCCAAAGTCATTAAAATAATGAAAAAATTATAATAAAAACCTTTCTACTCATACGAATTTGAAAATATAGTCTAAAACTCTTTCTTCTTACCTTATAATAGGTAATTTAATAGTTTGACCAATTTCAAAACAGGAAGGTCAGTTAACAAACGGCCTTGACATTTCAGTAGTCATACCTAGGAGGCAAATGTGCACGTTTGGACAAGACAATGTGAAAAGTTAGCAGAAATATCCCAAAGACTTTTGACACTTATTAATTAAATTTACACAATTATATGTTACTTACAGATACCTCTTACAATACACAAACAAACATGTTAACTCAATCACACACGGTGAAGTTACTGCATGCTATAGTAGTGACATGGGTTGAGACGCTCATGTTATGTATATCCACTTTAACGTCTTCTTTTTATCATATTTACCACATGGAAACATGCAAACGAAACACCCTGTTGAAGTAATAGTTAAAACTACTCTTATTTAGAAAGCACATTTCAGAGTACAATGGTATCTAATTCTTTCAGAATTATCATATATTTATAAACTTTGCACCAAGTCATTTCTTTAGTATAGGGTGATGCGTATTGAGTTATAGTTTACTTTCTTTGATCTACACACAAGTGTCGTACCGTAGAAATGCATGACGTTATTTTATTTCTCACTGAATTGAACGTTTGGCCTAATTTTAAGCAGGAAGCACACCGTCTCCATAATTTCCAAAATATAACGTCGCTTCTATTATCACGTGGATTCAGGTGCACAACATTTTTTACCATCACTATGTTGTGTATGAACTTCAGTGGTCATCTTTACGAGATCTGGCGAGTCACACAGGGTAAGTTCGGGCCTGCTAGCTGCTGATCTGGCTGAAGTAGCCCTAATTTTAGCTCTGATTCTTTCAAGTCGAACTAGGGTAGAAGCTTGGGGTGATGGTGGAACAGTGGGGGCGCGTCCCATTGCATTCATGTAGTCAGCTATCAACAAAGTGATGTCTAAAATCTGAAAACAGAAAGTTTCAAGTTTGTCGAGACTCAACAGTAATTGACTTGTTTGTTTAAACGTAGTTTCTACTAATTTACCACACTAATCATATTATCAGTAGTAATTCATCCATCACTTTAGAACTCATGTTATAACATACTCATTTATACTGACAAAGTATTGATATAACAAATTGATGTTACAATAAAACTAGTGTTATTAAGATCCTCATCTATGTTAGCATAGTGTCGACGAAATAAAACTAACACATTCATCTCTTCTGTTATAGTATTAACGAAATAAACTGAGAATTCCAAGTTCGTGA